GATGTCCAGCATCTAAATAGTTTCTTATTGCTTCTTACTGCTACAGATTAGCATGGGTACTTTTATTTATTTTTATTTTATTGCATCAGATCCAAAAGTTCTGAACCAGGGTTTATTATGCTGAACCCTGCAAAGCTGTGTCGAAAGAAAATTTACTGAAACTATGGTCTACTGAGAATTTCTTCTGTGAAATCTCCACCAAAATGAATGTTGCTGCATAAATGTTGTACAAGCTTCACTTATTTCAGTGGTATCTGCACAGGAGAAATTCATTGAAGAATTGTTCCTTGAGGCTCTATTGCATTCTTTATCCTCTATCAAATTGCTCTTGCAATTAGATAATTAGTTAATTGCTTTCTAATAATATGTTAATGTTGGTACCTTTCATTAGCTGTTTGGGCATCACATAAAACAGGGTTTATCTCAATGGGGATGATCTTTGGTTCCTTTTATGAGTGATAGACCTTGCTCTGTTGAAAGTTTTTCTTTCCATCTTTGATTAGTAGGTGTTTGGTGGTCAACTGAATCCAAATCTGTTGGTTTGTTCAATCATAACTTGTGATTTGAAGTTAGCTTGTTTCAACTTAGCATAGTTAAGCTTAAACAAATTGTCAGGGCTCAGAAGTCAGGGCAAGCTACAGTTAATATGAAATAGAAGCAAAAACCTCTGAACTTTTTGTAACTGTGCTTAAATGGAGTTCTCAAGCCCAAGGCTTGCTTAGGTTCATTCAGATCACAATAAAATGACTTTCAAATGCTGTCATATTCACACATACGTTGCCAAATCTAAGATGGGAAGAATGGATTAAAAACTGTGACTCATGAAGCAGATTCATCTACCAATCAGACAATGTGAAATGGGTTTGATTACTTAAACCATGTTTAGGGGAAGTAAAGACAAATTTTAGGCAGTGAACTCTTTGTATGCAATGAACAAGGTGATTCGGTTCATGGTGTGCTTGTTTCCTGTTAACACTGTAGTGTCTTTGAAAATATCCAGGAAATATTTAGTTTAGTTTAGGGCAATAGATGATGCTAGATAAAACAAGAAATGGACAGTGGTCCTATGTTGGTCATACCGTGAAATGAATTTAGGACTACACCTCTGTGTATACTTAGCTGAGAGTAATCCCTGCTGAACTGAGGGCAGCTTTCTGAAGTTTGTGCTGTTAATATATGTAATTATTTCAATATGCTATAAATGGTTTTCTTCACCCAGCTATTACATAGGAATAATTGTTTTCTGTAATATTTGGATTATTTTTTGCAGTCAATATTTAAGAAATGATTTTTGAAAGAAAAAAATACCTCCAGTTCTGTATTAGTGGCCAATAAATCAGTCAAAAAATACCTCCTTGATTAACCAATCAGTTATTAAACAAATGGTAGTACATTGTACAAGTTGCAAACTAGGCATTTAGTATTTTGTTGCATTTCTTGTATTGCCTTGCATAAACTCATAGGTTGTTACAGTCAGGGTCAGCTCTACTACTAGACAGACTAAGGGAGTTGCCTTGGGCAGCAGGTGCTGGGAAGGATAAAGTTGTGGGTCCCTGATCTCACTTCTGATCTGGTGGAGGATGTTGTTCACCACATCACAAACACTGAAGAAAGCCAGGAGCCTTTGTAGCTGGAGTGGGAGTGGCACTAGGGTTGTACAGTGCTCTGTGGAATCCATCGCTTCAGTGTTCATGGACTTCCTCTGTCTGACTTGTCTTAGCAAATGAATGAAGCCAAGTAAACATCCCCAAATGCTTGTGGAACAAGTTCTTTATTTCTTTATTATTCATTGATTTATATCCCATCTTTTTTCCTTACAAGGAACTCAAGGTGGCTTGCATAATCCTCCTGCTCCTCTCAATTTTAGGCTGAGAGTCTGTGATTGACCCCGAATTACCCAGTGAGCACCATGGCTGAACAGGGACTAGAACCTGGAGCTCCCTGAAACCGAGTCCAGCACTTAGGCACCTGTACTACACTGGCTCTCCCTGAAATCTACAACCTTCTCCTGTGTCTTCTTTACATGCAGTGCATGTGGAAGGCTGCTGGACATGATAAGGAAGAGAGATACCACTTGTGCAGCACTGGTGCAGGGCTCATTTCCTGGCAAGTACCCTGTGAATGCTAGGTGTGCTTGTCAGGAGCTCAGTCTCATGACTGCAAAAAAGTGAACCGAGGTCCAGGGAGCAGGGTCCTGGGAATTGAATAGATACCTCACACTTCCCCAAGGAGCTCCATCTTGTCCTTACCTGGGGCAGCAAAATGTCTCAGGCTGGCTGTGATCACAATTATTTTCATAAAGCATATCCGCACACTTTTGAATGATTACATGCACAGCCAGTTAACAGGCATATCAATCAGTTTAATAGAACATGCTGTTGCTCAGATGAAGACAAAGAACTGTATTATTGTCTGTAGTTTTTAAAATTTGCCAACTTGTTGTTTGTCATAACACATTGTTATGGCACAATGAGAGCTTTGGCATATTATCAATTCAATAAATAGTTTCATGCTTCTGGTTGTTTTGGGGCTGGTTTGGGCTGCTATAGACAAGAAGATCAACTTGATATCCATGGTGCAGTTAGGATACAAATTTTATGAATAAATAAATAAATTCTTACCAGAATCCATGACTCATAGACTGCTATACTGACCTGATAAAAATCTCTCTCCTGATGTTTTGTGCAAATAACAGATAAGATATAATGATTATATATGGGCCACCTGTGTCAACTATCTTTCAAGGTATTCTATTATCCAAATGCAGCATTGGCACAATTTGAAATTCCTATTGTATAAATAGTTTTCTAAGTATATGAAATGTAATTTCTTGGAAGTACAGTTGTTTGGACATGATCCATCATAATAAGCAATGCCATTCTAAGAAGCAGCTTCTCCTGGGTGTGCACCTTGCTGTGAGGCCCTGGCACATGTTCTTGTAACATTTTTTTTCAAGCACTCTTTCTAATTCACTGTCTGGTCACTGTTCGTCACATATATTCTGCAGGAGTCAGCCATAGGTGAAGCACAGAAGTTTCCATAGAAGTGACTTGTGATTGATGTTCCCAGAGTTAATTTGTTCCTTTGACTTCTTGAGATAATAGCAATTGATCTATCTGACAAGAATTGTGCGAAGCTTTAATAATTAAAGGCAGAAGAATTCATGAATCAGGAAATATATCAATATTGATTCTATTCATCATCTGAATGAGAGGTTACTTAAAAACAAATGACTGTGTTGACAAGGCCCTCAGCTCTGCATATGACTTGCGGCAGCAGCTATAGCATTCAAGCCACTGGTAGTTTAATGCTAAAATAAAATAAAAAATACAGGAAGTTGTTGTATACCATTTTGAAAGGAAAAAATCCCATTGACAGTCCTAATGATACCTACATATATCTAAGATCCATTGAGTTTCATAGGATTTACTTCAGCTAGCTAGCTATAAGTTTGGAGTGGGGCTACATTCTTATGTCACTACCGGAGAGTAAGTTGTACTGTTTTATGTTGTCTATGGATTTTAACATGATGTAGGCCACCCAGAGAGCATATGGCTAGTGGGACATCATAAAAATTGAATGAATAAATAAGTAAGTCTCACTGTATGTAGTACAGCTTACTTCTGATTGCAGTATATTGGACTTGGATTTTGGTGGTTAAATAAAGAATATTAAGTTTTGCACATTTGTTCTTGTTGGCACATTTTATACACATGGGCTTGTTGGTAACAGCAATGTTGATGGGTATATCCAAAATTAAGTATCAGATTGAAATACAGATCCTACAAACACAGCAGATGTGTATGTGTTTTCCAAACTGATAGATAATTCCAAACATTTCCAAGCCCACATGAATTGCGAAATTACCTTTCAGCTACAGGAAAACACTGAAGCCCTGCAAAGAGTTACATGCATCAAGAGTATGCATAGAATGATTTTTTTTCCAGAGCCCAGTCCTATACTTGTTTGTTCTGACAAAAGTCCCAATCCCATACCCTTGATTGTTTATGCCAGGATGGAGCCTGCCAGTGGTCCTGCTGGTCCTTATGAAGCCACCCTTAGGGCCTCTGGCCACCATGGGCTTAACACCTCTTTTTATAGAAGGTGGCCTCTCTGTGACCCAGAGCATACTCCACCTCCAGAGGATAACAATGTCTATAGTGCTGCATGCCAGCATCCTGCTGCAGGTGCTCTGTTGAGTGGTAACACTCCATTGACCTTCATCTAGCATTACTTGCTCGATGTCCACCCCAAGCAAGCTTGTCCCTTTGGCTGAGAAGTCTTCTTGGCAGACATCTGCTGCTGACATCTGCCTTACTCCATCTTGAGGTAGATTCACTAGTTACGCATATGCGTGATCAATAGAGACCACAAAGGAGAAAATAAGTTTTCTTACTTGAAACTGTCATTCTTCAAGTGGCCATCTCTGCATTCACACAACCCCATTGTGGGTTTGACATCTTAGTAGCTCAGCTTTCCTTTGGGTCCATGTCTGCATGGTAGGGGTCATCTGTTCACTGGCCTCCCCCACCCTCTGGTTCTGGCCACAATGCCAATCTCAGAAGAACTGGGAAATTGGAGGAAACCACTCCTAAATATACCAAGGGGAGAGAGGGGAGGGGCTCCCACCTGAACTAGTCTGTCTTGGAAATCTTCCCAACAATAGAACCTGTGCAGGCACAGAACCCACATGTATGATGACCACTCGAAGAACAATAGTTACAGGTAAGTAACCTTACTTTCTTGTGGGTACCATATTATCAACCCCTGCAGTACAGTAATTGGCATGTGGGAGACTATCCTATCTGAATAAGACCTATATGTTTTTTAAGCTAGAGTTTTCTTATTTTTGCAAAGATTGGAACACTGTCAATTAGATTATTCAAAGTATTCTCCAATCAAAAATGGTTCATTATTGATAAAAGAGATGATTAAAAATAGAAAGACCATACATACTAACAACTCTCTTTTGTTCGTTTGCTTTGGTTTTTGAAAAGCAGGAACCCAAAGAAGTTGTATGGCTCACATCTGACAACATGTACCACCGGTGGCTGCTGTTAGCTGCATGCTTTTGGGTAATATTCATGTTCATGGTTGCTAGCAAGTTCATCACATTGACCTTCAAAGATCCTGATGGTAAGTTTGGCCTCATTTTATTCTTGTTACTGATGCAAGTTATAGCACTGCTGTTGGTTTTTAAATTGTCAGTATTATGTTTAGAGCCCTTCCTGATAAGCTGTTTCTTGCCTTGTTACAAACAGCACATAATGGAATAGTGCATTGTATAAATAATCAGTGAATGTCAATGCATTGACTTTTACAATGACTCTTCTCTCATATAAATCATATGGTGAAAAGTGATCCAGTTTCTTTTCTTAAGGACAGGCATATTATTCTATGACTACCTCTTCATCTGTCCGTCCATCCATCCATTAGATTTCTAAATCACTGCATTAGCCACATGGCTCCCTAGACAGCTTACAACAATAAAAACAGTAGAAAAGAATAAAAACATCACAATCACTATGCACAACCAAACAAAAAACAAACAAACAAACAACCCACACCCACCAGAACTCCAGATTTTGTAAAAGACACATCCCCTTCTGATAAAAGACCATTAAAAACCAGTTAACAGTTAAAATGCAGGTGGAATAAAAAGGTATTTGCTGGGTGCCAAAAAGACTATAAGGATGGTGCCAGGCAAACCTCTCTGGAGAGGGATCCTTTTTTAATATAAAGGAATGTGAGAAGTTGTAAGTTCAGTATCTAGTTCTACATAAATTAGAAGAGGCATATGAAAGGAATAATATGAATTGTCCTGATTTTGCTTTCCCTTTCCCCTTCCCCCTCTTTGTTGTGTATATGTTGAATGACAAATAATGGTTTGCTACCTGTAAGATGGTTATGAAGCAGCAAGTCTCTGACTTGCAACAGTGTTTTGAAAATGAAGTACTTGTTTAGCTGGCTATCACTTTATTGTAACAAAATAAAGCCTTTGCTACAGAATGAATGCTTCTTTTCTCCATTTAAAGGCTGACATGGGGCAATGGGATCTTGGTTGAAGATCCCATTGGTGATCCCCTTGGTTGAAGATCCCCTAGCCGCCCAGCTGATGGGAGGCTAATTTCTCCTTAAACTACATGTGACAAGGAGAGTTGGGTGCGTGGAACGTTAAAAAAGCAATGTTGAAATAGAGAAGTACAAACTATCTAATATAATACACATTTTGTGCAGTTTTAAAGTGCTTCCTTTGCTTTTATTTAAATTCCTTCTCTGTTCTTTAGTAATTTCTGTTATCTGTGTTTGACAAACAAAAACCATCTAGGGTTTTCCTTAGCCAAAATAACCCAGATGCTATTAAACTGAGAATGAGTTGAAATCCACTTGATGACACTGCATTGTTTCTATTTTCTCTTTCTGCTGATGTCTTTAGAAACTAAGTTGAAGTCTTTCAAAGAAAGTGTAGTGTAAGTAGGGTTGTGCTGGCAGTGGTAATGATGTCAATTTTTGTGATTTCCTTTATTATATAAAAGCCTTTAAGCAAAGTGATGATCAAGTTGATAAAAGACATATCACAAATACGTTTTGTAGTATATTTTTAGTTGGGTTAAAGAGAAGGACTAGTGCTAGTTAACTTTGTGCCTTTCTGCTTTCTGGTGTTTTTACATTCTAAGTACAAATCATCCTCTTCCCTTTTCCTCAAGTCATCTTTGCTTGAGTCAGTGTTATAGTTGAGGGAAATACATGTCTTACATGCAATCAAAACATGCTATTGATTACTGTTAATTTTCAAAAGCAGGTGTCCCATTTTGTAAAACAAATTACTTTGAAGGCAGTGTACCATTTTGTACCCTTTCAACCAGCCCTGCAATGATGCATTGTGATTTTGTTTTATTTTTGTGTTATTTTTATTTTCTTATGCCCAGGACATTTTGCTCTCCTTCCTCACCTACAATACAACCCTTTAGGTGAAGTGATGTGCTGCCAGATGTAGTTTAAAGACTGGCGCTTTGGCAGCTGTCTCTCTCTACCACAGAACTCTTTTCTTTGCCTTCCCTTATGTTTGTGCAGATGGAAAATCATGTGTCTCTAACTTACCCTTGCTAAAGCACACTTTGTAGGAACTTTCATCACTTTCTCAAACTTCTTCCTGAAATGACACCCCATGAATTAGTCTTGTAAAATATAATGATATATGTAGTCTATAGTGGATTATGGATTGGCTCTAAAGCAGTTTTCCATTCATAAAAGGGGCTTCAATCCAGTAGAGGCTTCAGTGAACTTAAGTACAGGAGGCAGGTTCTGACCAGTTCTTTCCGTGGCTCCCAGCAATACGCTGCTTTTCAGGGCCCCCTAAATACTCTGAGGAAGATTTTCAGAAAAGGGGATTGGGGAAAGTTGCCTTTCCTTTTTCATTTACAGGAGCCAAGAGTATCCCATTCAGTGAGCAGAGCATTGCTTACAGATCTGGATCCTTAAGTAAGATGTATCAATGGTGTTCAGCAGCAATAGCCAAGTTAACTAAGAATAAACTATGCATTAACTTGGGTTGTTTACCCACGAACAACCTCAAGTGCTTGGCACTGGATATCATGATAACAACCTACAAATGTGGCATTTGTAGATTTTTGCTGCTCCTGTCTCCTGTCCACTGCTCTTTTATTAAGTGTTTATCTTCACCCAAAGATAAACACAACTGTATTCCTCTATACATATTCGTATATGCAGGAGTTGCTGATGTGGAGCACTGCCATGTTTATTTCCCAAGGTAATAGCCTTTCCATATGTTTCTATCTGATAAAGAGTAGTGATGGCAAGAACAATTTTTTCATTATTTTGTGAAATTATATTTTGGAAAAGTAACTGACCTTGTAATACTTGAACTGTATTATTTAATATATATTTTTTACATTTTATATTTTAACTGTATTACATACAAGTCTTTGAACTGTATATAATCATGCAGAGCATGGGTGGATTAAAAATACAATAAAATAAAAAGTTTCCAGAAATTTGTAATATTGCATGATAAAAAGTAGTTGACTTTTCTTTATCTTTTTTTCTTCTTGTCTAGTTTATGGTGCCAAGCAAGAACCATTAATATTGACAGCTATAACAGAAGTAGAAAAAATTCAACTGACAAAAAAGAAGTTATCTGGAGAATTTCAGGTAGGTGTTGCTGGCACAAATAGAAGTTGCAAAATGATACTTCCAGGTGTGGCTGTATCAGCAGTCCCTATAACATTTCATTAGTACAGTTCTTAAAAGCAGTGGAAAAAATGAGTGCAACTGTTTGTTGGGATAATTCAAGGAATCTGCTATTCCTGCTAAGTGGAAATCCATGGGAGAGTTTAATGACAAAGCTGGGAATATGGGGCTCTCTAGATAGTGTTGCAGTGCAACTTCAGTTAGACCTAATCAGCATAGCCAGTGATGGAAGATGATAGGAACTGCAGTCCAACAGCAATTGTAGGGCCAGGTATTCTCCTTCCCTGTTTTATGGCATGGCAATGAACAACAAGATTCCTTGGGCTAGTGCATTCACTTCTGAATTAAAGTTTAGTGGGGATGCAGAGATCTTGGAATAATCTATGAAATGGCTTGCCAGATCAGACCAAGACATCCACCTTGTTTAGCATCAAATATTTAGATGCTTCCAGAGATTCACAAGCACAGCATGGTGGTGGTGATGTCTTTAGCATCTAGTATTGATAAGTATACCCCATTTCACTCTAATGGTTTTATTTAGCTATTGTGGCTGATACCCATAGATTCATGGAAGAGAGATAAATTTTGTCTGAAGTCCTATACTCAATTGTCCATTAAACACTGTGGTATTCATTTTTCAGATTATACTGTTAATCTTTTTAAAGCCATCTAAGTTAGTAACCATCACATCTTTTGTGAATTCCAAGAGTCAAACTATGCATTATGTGAAATAATTTAAAGGAAAGGGAAGCGGAACTGTCAAACTGTATTTCTCTTCAAAAAGGTGTGTGAGGAGAGTAGTTTGACTCTTTCCTGAGTCTGTTGAGAGTCTCTTCCATGGAAAACAAAAGGGGCAAATATGAAAAAGAGCTCTTTCCAGGAAGGGCATGTTGTTTGCAAAAAAACACCCCTTCTTTTCAAATGATCCCTTGTACCTTTGCTTACCATGGGCAGTTCAACTTTCATGATACAGCAATTGAAAGTGGAGTGGAAGGATTTCCACCCTCAGATGGGACAATATGCAGAGGGAAGCATGCTGCAAGGTAGCAGTGGGCATCTTTTTACACATTTTTCCCAGCATAGGCTGTTGCTCTTCAGGGAATGGGTTGTGATGGCACATTAAAAAATGTTTGTGTCCGTTTCTAGACACAAATTAATCCATTAATTAATTAAAAATACCGGTCAGCTACAGGAAGTCACTCCAAGATGCCATGGAGCACTTTGAAGGGGCAGTTTCTGCTTGCCCATTCATATAATCATGCTTGCAGGTTTTTATTATCTCCTCTCTGCTCCCCTGAAAGTTAAAAATCGAGCAAGGGAGAGAGGGCTGCCTCTGCCAGCCACCCACCACTGTCAATTGGGTGCTTTGGGGAGTGACTGACAATGGCAGTCACCCAACAGCTGCTTGAACAGAGTTGCAAGGGATTTTTACTGTTTTTACTAAGGGCTTGCCACTATGTTTCCAAATGACAGAACACATTTGTTGGTCACAGTAACCCTGCAGAGTGGCTTATTTACAAAAAAGCCACCTTCTGTGAAGTGGCCCCTGCTCACATGCCATAAAAGCACAATAACAATTCACAGTGGCTGACAGCTAACAGTAAACCCAAACAGCCTTACTTTGCAAGGATTTATCAAGGCTGTTCAAATATTTTCATTTTCATTCCAGTACTTCATGTCTTCAAGATGCATCCTACATTGTTTTAAAGAATGTTCCCTTTGTTTTATGTTATGTTAGATTTTAGTGTACATTGCTTTGATGGCCCTTGTGGACAGAAAAGCAGTATACATATACAACAACACCACCACCACCAACAGATAATACATTTTAAAACAAATGTAGGTGTCAGAATCTAAGCTACTTTGCCATAGCTTCATTGTACAATTTTACTTAGCAATGTACAATTATATTGTACACGTGTTAATGGAAGAGGAAGATAAGAAGTTGAGAAAACTTTCCTATTGAACAATATATTTTGACACTAGCATGTCAACAGTTCAGCATAGGCAGAAACCAGGGCCTCTGCATTGCTGGGTTATATCCAGTGTTAGCTTAACTACTCATTTCAGTGGATTCAGTATGAGTAGTCTGCTAACACATGAATGAGTATAAACTTTTTATTGTTACTTATTGTCAACAAAATGAGAGCACTTTACAATATTTAGTTGAAGCCCAGTACATGATGCCAAGGTGATACCAATATATGCCAACATATCACAGCCTACAGCAAGTGACTGCAGTTCCAGTACTTGACTTGCAATAAGTTTGCATGAACTGATTGTGAGTTGCATAACCACAGTGGCCCCATAATTGGTAGCTTCATTTGAGCAAATCTGAAGGCTCCTTAAACCCCTCCCATGTGACTTCCATAAATGGCCCGTTATGTGAAACAGTTCAGGGCACTTCTGTGAAGCATGAATTGACTCAAATACTTAAAGGGAATGTTTACATGAAGCAGTTAAAAAAACAGCTGCACAATTAACTACACCAGTGTGGTATAGCGATTAAGAGCACTGGGTAGTGCCAGGTAACCTGGATTCTAATTTGCACTCAGTCATGAAGCACGCTAGGTGACCTTGAGCCAGTCATTGCCTCTCAGTCTAACCTACTTCACAGGGTCGTTGTGAAGACAGAATGAAAAGGAAAACCTTGTAAGATGCTTTGAGTTTCTTGCTAGAGGAAGAAAGGTGGGAAATGTAATAATAATTGTGTGAAAACTATTCAGTAGATTTTTGCTTTGTAGTACCTTGGGACTGTTTTTACAGATTCAAAATGTTTGGTGCTTTACTGATTTGCATTCACGTGAATTGTTTCATATCCTTCTGGAAGCAATCCTGTACACACTTACCTGTGAGTAGCCTGGTTGAACACAGTGTAAATGTGTTGGAGTTGTTGCCTTCTGTAACAGCTTTTAGAGGTCTTGGAAGGCTTATTTATAGTTACCTGAAATTATTTGCCTTGGTAGTTCAAATGTTAAACTCAATGTTAAAAATGATTGAAACTTTTACAAATCTAGAGCTGTTGAATGGCAGCAGTTTTATATATTATAACAGTCTTATTTGTAATAAAAAACTTCATTTTGTTCAGCCAACACTTAAAATTGCATGTGTTTTTCTGTTTCATTCTTAAAGGTATATATGTATACCTATAAGAATATGGTATATGCTTAATTTTCTCATTTTTCAAATGAGAAGTAATTTTTTTTCTTTTGCTTTTTTCTTCCTCCTGCTCTTCTTCCATTTTATACTAAGACAATAGGAAGAGGTCTATCTGAAGACCTTGTACATCAACCTCTGGTCCATATGGAAAGGCTTGAACTTCTCAGGAATGTGTGCCAAGTAGCATCACTGAAAAACCTCACCCACACTACTGTTTCAAAATTTGTTTTGGACCGAATATTTGTATGCGACAAGCACAAGATCCTCTTCTGTCAAACTCCAAAAGTTGGCAATACTCAGTGGAAGAAAGTCTTGATTGTTTTAAATGGTACCTGTTCACTTTTACAATCTGAAGTATGTGTTTGCTTGGATATAAACACTTCAAACAGCAAAGTCTAAAGATCAATTGTTTCTGTAGACTGATTTTTAAAAAATGCCTGCTTTTCATTCTTTGTAATTTTATATTGGCTCTTTCAACATGTTCTTTAAAAAAATACCACTTTTTCAGTTTTTACTGTTCTACATATATGATATTTGCCAGTAAAGAGCAACTTGGCACGTATAGTGGAGCTTGCTGCCAAGGTTTTGATTGTGAGCTGGGTTTTAAACAAAGAAAAACGTAGTCTACTAAAGCAAAATTAATTTAAACAAAAGTTACTCAAACATGTTTACAATAAGATACCTTCCTTCTACTGTCCTCATGTTTAACTAAAAAGGTGGAATTGCGGCATTATATTTCCATACCTTTTAACACTCAATTTCTAAATTCTGGATCTTGCAACTTCAGGGCCACTACCTAACACAGCTGGTAGTCAAGAATAAAATCACATGGTAACAAGCAGTTACAGCAACAAGAATAAAAATAGCGGAAACCATAGTACGATACAAGGGTAAAATTAAATGTCTTTTAATTGCAACCTGGAAATTGATATAGGAGAAACTGAAAGCAATGAAAGAAGATTCAGTATTGCATGTATTAAATTAGACCAAGGCAGTATGAATATATTTTATTTCAATGCTTTGCATTGAGGGGAAGTATTTCTTAGTGCTGTGGGTTGCTGGGTGGCTATGTACTAGGATCTCATATAGTACAACATTCCTGAAACATTTATATTCAGGTTTTAGAATCAGTTTTGATGCAGAAGAATATAAGAAATTTCAATACCTGACTATGTGAATTGTATGAAATCTCTAGACTGGCCTTGGCTAAATAACAATGCTGGGCCAGTCATCAGTGCCTTCTGTTCAAATTCAGCAGAACAGTATTTTCTACTACATTGTACTTCAGGCTTCAACTATTTATGCAACTGGTCTCAGGGACAATTTGGTGTGGAGAACATCCTTCAAGTACAGAATTTGGTACAGCTGCCTATAGTCCTGGCCAGTGTTGGAAAGTGCCAGAGAAAACACAACATATGAACTCTTAAGTAGCTTTGTGTAGAACTTGAGTTGTTGGGGGAGATTTTCCAAGAACCTTCAGCTTTTCTTTCAGTTTTTTAAAGAAGTAACTTGCTCATGCTTATGTCAGCAGATACTAGCAATTTGGTGACAGCCACCAGTACAGAAGAGAGAATGAGACAATTTGAATGGTTCCTTTGTAAAAACATGTCCTAATTTATTTCCTCAGGAGCTTTTTCTTCCATAGAGGAAATCCCAGAGAACATTGTTCATGACCATGAGAAGAATGGCTTGCCACGCTTATCTTCTTTCAGTGACTCTGAAATTCAAAAACGGTAAGAATGAATTAATTTATTATTTATTAAATTTATATTCGCCCGTAAAAAATGGCTCTTGAGGGGGCTGTAACTTGGTGTCTAAACCAAAGAGTCTTGTCTTGAAAACCCACCCTTGATCAAAGAACTTGATGTGATGTATTTGGTATCTTCAAAATAGGTCACTGGGAATCTAGCAAATAAAATGATTTTATATTAACTTTGTTTTAATTTACTAAAATGTTAATTCACTCCAGCCAAATGTGCTGGGCGGGGGTGGGAGCAGGAGGAATGGAGAAGAGAGCATTTTTTCTGAAAGATCTGATTAGGCAGAATAATTGGTGAAGTGTATTAAAATCAATTTAAATTCAAAATTGTATTTAGAAATTATTTTCATTGGAATTCTTTAACCATTTGAAGATACAGTTAAGCAATAGCATGCTCTTACATTGTCCAAATATAAAGCAAAAAATAAAGGCACTGAAACAGTTAGCATCCTGATTTTTGAATATCCATTCATTATATTTTTTCAGAAATGTTATATCCTACTGCTTAACATCATTCTCAAGGCAGCTCACAACAATAGTAAAACAACAAAAACAAGCACTAACAGTGCCAACATACCATGAAAAACATTTTGAAGTAGTAAATATCCCATCTCATATTTTCTTTTTTCCCTTTAATTTTCCCCTATTAGTTTTCTTCCTTGTAACACACTCACATTTTACTGGCAGAACTGCACTGTTAATCTTTAGTGAAGACAGGAGAAAGCAGTGGTTGTTAAAACAGGCCCAACAAGGTAGAATCAAAAAGGTAGCAAAAGAATGGACTGAGAAGATGTCCCAGTGCTGGTGACCAGCCACATCTGTGCAACATTTGTTTTCCTTTCTAAGGCCAGCATGGCCTACACCAGGGGTCTCAAACTCACGGACCAATTGCCGGGACGGGTGGGGCATGGGGGAGGGGCCCTGCAGCCTTCAAAGCGCTGGCGGTGCCCGGGCCGGCCTCCGGGAGCCACGCGGGTTGAGCGGCCCACCACCACCGCGGTGGTGGAATACTTGATGCGGCCCAGCCTCACCCAGACTCTACTTCCAGCGGCCCCCAGGTAAGTTGAGTTTGAGACCCCTGGCCTACACATTCTACAAGTGCAAGCTAGTAGCCCTGTTAGAAGAAAGGGTGAGAGCACTAGAGCAGCAAGTATCTACCCTTAAGGTAATAAAAGAAGATGAATGGTTTTTAGACAGAGTGGTGGAACTGCAACAGCTAAGAGTAGCACAGAAGTTAGGAGCAACAGCAAGCTGAGGCAGAAGAAAATCCTGAGGGAAGGGAAAATGAGAAGCAAACTTGCTGGATAAGGGAACAATAAGGTACAGAAGAACTAGAAGACACTGGGGACCAATTGGAACTCAACCCACTTTCAGTTACTCAGGTATGACTGTGGAGGACACCTTGCTGTGGAAGCACTGCAAGTCATCCCATACAGCCTGTTGCTTGGGGTAGAAAGACATGTATGTCAGGAAAACCCATGGGCTCATTTGTCTCCCTGGAGGAAAGATTTGTGATATAACTGAAAGATTGCCAAGGCTCATAGATACTGACACATATCCCTTTCTCCTTATACGTGTGAACAAATGACATTGCCAAGCAGAGTTTTGAAGAAATCATGTAAGATCTTGAGGTTTTAGTGAGGAAGTCAAGAACTGTGGAACCCAGATCGTTTTCTTTTCAGTCCTTCCAGTTCTTCAAAGAAGAATAGGCAGGGAAATTCTCCAAGTGACTGCCCACCTACAAAGGTGGTGCCAATGTGAGCGATTTGGATTCTTGGGCAATAGGCTACACTTCCTGGAAGATGGATTGCTGGCAAGGGATGGGTTGTACCTTACAAGGACTGGAAAGAGTGTGGTTAACCACAGCTTTATCAGGAGGGCTTTATCAGGAGAGCTTAAAATTGACATGCCTTGATACTAATCAAAAGGGAAGACCTAGGGGGCAAAGTGACAGCTACAGGAGCTCTGGAGGAAAGTAACCATGCCATACTTGAATTTTTGATACTAAAGAAAGCAAAAGCCAAATGAGATAAACATGTATTCTGGATTTTAGGAAAAGTTATTTTAATAAACGCAGAACAATGACAAGTAAAGTCCCAAGGCAAGTGACTGTAATGAGAAAATAAGTCCAAGAGGAGTGAGATTTTTTTTTAAAAAAGTAAATAAGGCACAACTACAAACAATTCCAACAAAGAAAAAGGATAGAAGACAACAGAAGAAGCCCATGTGGTTTCACAAAGAGCTTAGAGATGCTATGAAAACAAAAAAGGACATGTATAGCAAGTGGAATACAGTCGGGACAAATGGAATTGCAGGGTACTGTTAGGAATGCTAAAGCTAGAACTGTGTTGTTAACATAGTGAGGGATGCTAAAAGCAACAAAAACAAACCTTCAGATATGTCCAAAGTAAACAGAGGAAAGAAATGGGGGTTCAGCTATTCAGTGTGGATAGTAAAATGATAACAGATGACAAAAGGCTGAAGTGCTCAGTTCCTACTTTGGCTGAGTCTTCTTCCAGAAGGCTATCAATAATCTTCCTGATAAAGGGGAAGTACAGGCTGAAGTAGCAGGATGGCAGCTCAAGATTGATAGGCAAATTGTCAAGGATAAACTAATTGGATTTAATAAGTTCAGGTCTCCAGGGCCCAATGAACTCCATCCTAGAGTCATAAAGGAGCTGGTGGAAGAAATCTGAGAGCCACTGTCGATTATCTTTGAGAAGTCATGGAGGACAGGGGAAATGCTTGATGACTGGAGAAGAACTAAAGTTGTCCCTGTCTTCAAGAAAGGTTAAAGAAGTACTTGGGATCTACAGACCAGTCACTCTGTCCTGGATCCCTGTGAAAATTCTGGAGCAGATTATAAAGCATTCTGGAAGTACCTTGAAAACAATGCAGTGGTTACTAGAAACCAACATGGATTTCTCAAGAAATAATTTCTTTGATTTCATTTTTAGATTGATTAACTTCTCTGATGGATTGTGGGAATCCGGTAGACATAATATATCTTGACTATAGCAAAGCTTTTGACAAGTGCTCCATGCTCTCCTGATTAGCAAACTAGTTAAAAGTGGACTAGATGAATCCACTATCAGGTGGATGCACAGTTGACTTCAGAATCAAAAATTTCTCATCAACAGCACCTTCTCAAACTGAGGAGAAGTAACAAGTAGGGGTACCACAGGGTTCAGTTCTGAATCAAGTGCTCTTCACCATTTTATTAATGATTTGGATAAGGAAGTGCAAGGAACAATTATCAAATTCATGAATGACAGAAAACTAGACAAGATAGTTAATACCCTGGAAGACAGAAATAAGATTCAAGGTGATTTTGATTTGTTGGAGTGCTGGGATGAAAACAACAGAATGAAATTCCTTAGGGACAAATGGCAAGTTCTGCACCTATAAAAAAGAAAACAAATGCATTGTTACAAGATGAGGAATGGCTCAACAATACTGCAAGTGAGAAGGACCTTGAAACTGTTGTAGATCACAAGCTGTATATGAGTTAACAATGTGATGCGGCTACAAAAAGGGCAAATTATATTTGAGGCTGCATTTATAGAAGTATCACTTCCAAATCATGTGAAGTACCAGGTCTCCTTTACTCAGCACTTGTTAGGACTCATCTGGAGTACTGTGTCCAGTTCTGGACAGCACGGGCTAAGAAACATGCAGACATACTGAAAAGGGTTCAGAGCAGGCACCAAGGATAAACCAGAGATTGGAAACAAAGCTCTATGAAGAGAGATTGAAAAACTGGGCATGTTTAGCCTTGAGAAGAGAAGACTGAGAGGATATATGATCATACTCTACAAATACTTGAGAGTATGACAAAGAGGAATGACAGGATCGCTTTCGATCGCCCCACAGTGCAGGACAGAGGACTCAAGTTATAAGAAGCCTAATTCTGGCTTGATATCAGGAAAGTTTCCTGACTGTTAGAGCAATACGACAATGGAACCAATGACCTATGGAGACTGTGGGCTCTCCCACTCTACAGGTATTCAAGATGCAACTGGACATCCATCTGAGAGGGATGTTTAACTTAGTGTCCTTTACTGAGAAGGCGGTTGGACCCAGTGGGCTTCTGGGCTCTTCCAACTCTACTCTTCTATAAATATATGATTTACACCAGGGAGAAATGTACAGTACAGCTGCTGGTGTTATTAGTTTTTGAGAATGCATGAGGAAACACAGAGAAAGGAACTTATTTCCCTGCATACCATCTTTCCTCTGGTTTCCCAAAGTATTAATGTTTCAGCGTAACAGCTGAACTGCTGTTTTAATTATTTATGGAAGCTATACTGGGAGCCAAAGTGCTTAAAAATATAGTTAATAAAACTTAAATATTTTCCATAACAAATAACCTTTAAACTATTTTTCTTCCAAAAGTTTGATTGTTGTCATGTATTTTTAGAGAGTAGTAGGACTGGTTCATGGGTATTACCTGATTTCTAATTGCTTGGCAGTTGGAACAGAACATGGGAATGAACTTCACTGGAATGCAGATCACCATTTAATACTGTAGTCATCAAGCAAGGAACACATATATTTGAATGGCACTTCTTTTATGTTAGTGGCATGAATTCCAGTAGATAACAGCTTCTTAAAATGTCCATGTAATGTTTTTCTGTTTTTCTTTTCCATGTAGACTGAAATTATACTTCAAGTTCTTTATTGTGAGAGATCCATTTGAGAGGCTTATTTCTGCATTTAAGGATAAGTTTGTCCACAATCCTCGATTTGAACCTTGGTACAGGCATGACATTGCTCCTGGCATCATTCGAAAATATAGAAAGAATCGCACTGAGACCAGGGGGCTGCAGTTTGAAGACTTTGTGCGCTACTTGGGTGATCCAAATCATCGATGGCTAGATATACAATTTGGAGACCACATAATTCATTGGGTAACTTATGTGGAACTCTGTGCCCCCTGTGAAATAACATACAGTGTAATTGGACATCATGAAACACTGGAAGAAGATGCACCATACATCTTGAAAGAAGCGGGAATAGACCACCTGGTGTCTTATCCCACAATTCCACCTGGCATAACCATATACAACAAAACCAAGGTGGAGCGCTATTTCTCAGGAATTAGCAAAAGAGACATACGACGTCTTTATGCCCGGTTTGAAGGAGATTTTAATCTTTTTGGCTACCAAGAGCCAGATTTCTTACTAAAGTGACACCTGGAAGTTATAGAAAATAGATGAAATTAAGGTGTACAAATATTCTTCTGTGTAACTGAGACTTATGGGACTTGTACCTTTTCTAGGTTTCAGAAATGGTTCCCTAGAACTGTTGAACATTTTCTATAGGAGCAACTAGTGATTGCATATTGTTCGCTACTGAAAATAGTTTTAATATATGGCACTGCAATACATTATGAGTAAAACCTATTAAGATAGAGCATATCAAACATTCATCTTTCCCTTTCTGATAGATGATGGACCAATAATCTATAAATGAACTTGAAACTGAATGCATAATAAAGAACGTATAGAAAGGGTGGCAACTTTCTCTAGTGAGATAAGGACCTGAATGTGAATTCAACACAGGACCAAAAATTGGTAAGTATGCTATAGCTAAGGAGAGGACTTCCAGATTCTAGCATAGACTCATTCGGAAGGCCTTTTTCTTGGTTATTTTGCCATAACCTTGTGATAGTTACTGCTATTCATTCAGGCCATAAAGGTGTGCATTTTAACTGATAACCTTTGAATTCATAGGAGATCAAAAATCTGATAGTGAAGTTGTAGGTTTCACTTTTAAAAAGAGACTGTTGGACAAATGTGATTATTTCTTGTACTTGATTGAGTGAGCTGAGACACTACTATCTACTGTGCATTTTACCAGATGTTGGTATACCTGTGCATTTTTCCATAGGCTGTATTTTTTTCCCCCAGTGGTGCTGGCTATCCTATTGACCAGGCAAGTCATGAAACAATATGAGTTTAAGAGTTGCCATAATAAATTTTATCAGCATTCTATTTAAATTTGTCATGGGACTGATTTTTAATCATAGAAATACCCATGCATGCAGTGAAGCCGTTGGACCCCATTCATATCTCCACTGCACATGAAGCACTAACGTGTGAGGCAAGATATATGCGTGATCCTTGTGATTCTTCCATTGTAAAAAGAGGTTGAAAGATGGCAAGATGCATGTGCCTTTGGATACATGCATGTATGTCCCATGCACAGTGACAGATATGGGAACCCCTGCCTGACAGCATGCATGGTATTTTGTGACTGAATAAGGTCCTTGCAATGGGAGGAAACTGTTGGTATGGTTCTTCTCAGCTTTTATACTTGAGGTTTTTTCCATTCTCCCATGATGTGATTGTTTGTCATATAAAATCACCAATGAATAAATGACCGGTTCTCCAGGAGTTCAAAGAGATGTTGTGTCTATATGTATACATTTCCTAAAGTTTAATAGCACATTTTGGATGCCCAGAACAATAATATAATTCATGCTTGTGATATTTTTGTTGGATATGGAACTTTTTTTTTAGTTCACCAGCAATAAAAAGTTCTTGCTTGATCACCTTTGCTCCGCTATGGCACCAGGAGTAAGGAATGATGACATATCACTATTAGTAGGTCAAAAGTTGGCTTTAGACAACATTTTTTACATTTGATATAAATGTTGGAAATTTTATTATATTATTGTCTTAATGTGCTAAGCCAGAAGTAGTCAGATTGGTGAGAAAATTGAAAATTTGCTCTTGAATCTGGCCACAGTAGAATCCTCAAGGATGTGTTTTATATCTGTAAACTTGAAAAAAAGAATACAAATGAGTGCCAAAACTGCTGCTTCCCACGAAAAAAGAACCTGTATAAGCCCGATCTAGTCCTAGATGGATCCTTGAAGACTTAAGAGCCATTCCACCCATTTCATACAGTTGTTAGAATTTTTGACTGCACTACCACTTCAGACTGCTGGAGGAATGGTTTTATTGTTAATTCTTCCTAAATATATAAACCTCCCAGAATGTAGCACATTAGGTAGAAAAGTTTAGTTTGACTTCTTCCTGGTAATAGTTTTCTAGGTGACAGAGGTACATTAAAAGTAGGTGACAGTGAATTAAAATAGCTGTCTCCTTTCAGCTACAGTTCACATTTCTATCACTTCCTTCAGTGTAATATGTAGAACAGCTTGGATTTGTGTAAGGAAGAAGTGTGACATGTTTTCCCATGGCAATTTCCGTGACAGATCTCAGTTTCACAAAGGGAAAACATGTGTAAATTGTTGTGTATGTGGAGGGCATATGTATCTATATTGCCATGTGCACCTTTACTCCTTCACTTGCAGTTTTCCTACACAGAAATAATATCTAAGTGAGGAAATCATTATATGTGAAGCTATAATAATAATGATAGCAAGGGACATGTCCAAGGTGGCAGAGCTTGAATTGCTCTTGTCATTCTTTTGAGGGAGGGGGTGCATTTACAGTATTTTAGGTACATTAGGTCTTCAGGGCTGTTTAAAGGCTGTAACAGCTCAGTTATTTTTATATGAAGTGTTAGAAAAGTATATTGTTTAATGTGTTTCAGGACTAATGAGCTGATCAAGTTACCTCTCTGCTGAATTAAAATGTAACAATATGAGAAATGTATAGCAAATAAGGCCTTAAGAAGCTAATTCTAATAAAAAAATGAAGTATATTTCTGGTCCCTTTTTTCTGTAATCTGATTGTTACTAATACTTATTGGAGTGTGTTTGTGTTCTTGGTCTGACTTCTGATTTACATTGCAAATTCCATAGAAAAGAGGATCTCTCTCCCTCTTTCAATGTCTCTCTCTGGCTTCTCAATTCTGTTTCTTTCTCACATCAACTTTATATTTTGATAGACTTCAGTGTAATGATATGATAAATGCAATTAGACTGTCTGCAATAATTTTGTGATCTAGTGTGTGGATGCCACTTTTATCACGTTGAAATCAGTACTGTAAATTTTGGTGGGAGTTTCTTGGTTTGATAATTCTTGATCTACATACAAAGGGAAGAGCTAATATATTGCCATCATTTCTAACTTTGGAGTCTTTTTGCTTTTATTGCCTTGATTTATGTGTTGCTTAACATTATCCATCATATATTTTGATGTTTTTATTCTATGTATTTATTTGCTCAATTTGTATATTGTCTTTCTGTCAAAATGTGAAGGAATTTATCATTCAAAATAATGGCTAAGAGACATAGTATCAAAGCAGAAAGGGAGGAGAAAAATAAGCATAGGGAAGATGCTACCTTTCATAGTGTTTATCTAAGCAAGTTATAATGGAATTTCAGGAAACAGTTCTGGGAGAGAAAGAGCTAAATACTGGTTCCAGAAAGGCCAGTAAATTTTTTTTTTTGTCTCTCCTGTCATTGAGCCAGCCATGTGAAAATTAGGGTAGTCCAGGTTAATACTGGACCAGGAAATCACATTTAAAATCCAGTTTATAGTCTTCAGAAATTTCCTGGAAGAAGAAAGGAAAAATACGTTTTGTGTGCCTCATTAAATAGTGTGTGGCCACTTAGATACCTTGACATTTTTATTCTTTAACCATCTGCCACTTAAACAACTTGCACAGCTTTAAAAACTCCCACAGTAATGATGGTTAAATACTGTGACAGCAATTACTGATTCCTGCATGGAATGGAAGACATTGTGCCTTTCTGATATCTTGTACTCTAAATGCAGCTAATTCTTAAAGTTTAGATAAGCCAGACCTTTTTGAAAAGCTTCTTATTAGCATGAGAAGAGCATAATGTAGGAACACAACCACTGAGGTGGCTGAGATATCAATGAGAACGCAGATGGGAAACAAGTGACACTGCTTTCAGCAGTCTCAGGTGGGTGGTAGCCAGAGATGCAATGAGTCACTGCCTTATTTCCGGAGATTCGTTATAAATTAAGAACAAAGTGCAGTGGTGGCCTGCACAGAAATCCCCTCATTCTGCCCTTTGAAAAGGAAAACTGGCCCACTTGGACCTAGTACAGAGAGAGTGATGGGAGAAATGCCTGCGTGTGCATAAATGCTGAGGAAGGAGGTTATTTCTTTTCCTTGAACAGTTTATTTTCCTTATTTAAAGACAGACCAGAGCCTCTCATACATGGAATCCTATCAATACTGTCCAATTTATTTTTATTCGAGGTTATGCTTTTGGGAGGAAAACTGGAATATAAATATAAGACTGTATTTGCCAGCCTTTACAGCACTGCATCCTGGCAAGCATTCTTATTAGTTCTATCCCCAGGAAGGCATTCCACAATCTTTTGATCTTTTTTAGCCTATCATGTTTGGGTAGGAGACCGCAGTGCACCAGAAGTGTATATATCTTTCCTGTATCTAAAATGCAATCAAAGTGCTTAACTCTCTCATTGAATCTATGGGGTCTGAAGAGTATGTGGGTTTGAGCTGTGCTGTAATGACTTCTGTATGATGTTTTCTATTATGTAGCATCTTTATATAACTTCATGAGAGCAAGTGTGGTTTATTGAGGAGGATCTGGAACTTTAGAAATCCAGGTTCCAGTCCCCACTTGACTGTGAAGTACACTGGGTGAATTTGGGCTGGTCATTGACTCTGATCCTAACCTGCCCTACAGGGCTGTTGCGAGGATGAAATATAGAGGCCCTGGATTTCTACAAGAGGAAAAACTTGGGCTATAAATATAATAATAAATACTTAAAAAACAACTAGCATTTTCTGAGGTCAGTTATATGTGTCCTGCATACTACAAGGTTTTTTTTATGATGGTTGAAAGTGTAATCAATTTTTTTATATATTATGCTAGCATCCACAACAGAACCATTCAAACCATTTTCAACAGCACTTGAAAAGCTAGAATATTGGTATTCTTGAAATGTCTTCTCCTTAACAGTTTCAGCCTGTTCGATGCAACATTAGCCAGATGTCATCTTCTGAACATGAACAGTATTCTTAACCCTTTTTTCCTTAGGACATTTTCTCTGTTGCCACCAAAATCAGACATATACCTATACATTTTGCCTGGTAGCAGTTTGCTTTCTGGTGTAGGAGCTGCCCTTTCAAAATAGATACTCAGCAGCTGAATTGCTTGTGGCAAGTGTTGCTACCACCAAGTGTTTTCTTTAGTTCTTGGCTAATTTCTGACCCTCAGTGGGTCGGTGTGCAGTCCAGGATCAGGGGAATAGTCAAAACTGGAGGAGACTTCCACTGACAGGGATAGAACACTGCATTTGACACATGCCAACTGTGTGTCAAATTCACAGCTCTGTTTTTGAAGTGGGCTTTGGAAGGGCTATTTCCAATTTCTTTTTATCCTCCAGGACAGTGTGCAGTCATATATAGCTTATATACCTGTACAATTGCCTGGCAAAACAGATTGTTAACCCTTTAAGTCCCAATTCAGGCCTCTGTTTTTCAAGTGGGACTTGGAAGGGGTTGAAGGGACTTTGAAGGGGTTCAGATGAACTGTTAAGTTTGGCTTAGTGCAGTCAAGAAAAATAAGTTTTTCAGCTCCTTGTGGTATTGTCATCTCTAGAATAATTGCTAAGGCAAAGAGACCTTTGGTACATATGATCATACCCCAAATCTGGCTGGAAAGAGGGGAAAAATTAAAGGGGTAGCCCCCGAAATACCCTTTTCTGCAGAATCCTTGAAGGTTTGGGGAGGGGGGCTTTTGTGCCCTTGTGTAATCCACATTATGCAAAGTGATAACAGCATAGGAGCACCCCCACAGCAGATCCTGCTGCAAAGGGTATTTATTACTCCCCCTTTTTATAAGCAGGTAAGCTGGTATATGGAGAGTGCTCAATTTTTGACAAGTGCTGATATGAGAGAGACACTATAAGAGACTGCCCTAGCAAGCCCTTTCTGCCTGTCACTGCTGGGTACAGCCAAAATAAGTGATTTGCAAGTTGACGTCTGCAATCATTGATCCCTCATTTCTCCATGGGGGAGGGGATCTTATGCGTGACACACCTGATCATTTGTCAAATGTATTTTAAGTAGGGTGGCTTATTAACCACACTGTGTACTCTGCTAGCTAAGCCTGCACTCCTGCATTCACTTACGCAGGTAAACTTACTGAACTCAATGGCGGCTTCTAAGAATGGTGGTGTAAAACTTTCACAGATAAGCTGCTATCCCATGTCCCACCTCCAAAAACTCCATCGTTACAATTTGGGAACTTAAAAGCAGTTTCTGAGTGTCAATTTGTCCAGGAAGTCAGGATTTTGATTGGCTTTTTTGTGCTTAGCAATTTGGAGGTAGGTGAAAGAATTTTCAAGTGGCTACCAGGCAGCCCCCTTTGCCTGTATGAATTGGACCTAAAAGTGGTATTGCCAATCGTGAGTTAAGCTACTGCTCTTTTTGTGTTGCTAGGAGATTTCTTTCCCCTTGTTTGATTTTTGCATAAAATTGTGAACTTTAAAGATACAAACAAGAAAACAAAAAATGACTTGCATGGAATTCTTGCACTGTTCCTGGCCATTGCCTTAGCCATTCTCCTTCATTATCATTGTCCTTTTTATTTTTAAAAAAGAAAAAACATGGGATTTTACACTAAGTATGCACGACTGTTGCAAGCACTTTTAAAATATATTTTAGTACACTGTATTTTCTGTGCACATTGTTGCTCGCATGCAATCATGCAAATTCAGTTTTGATGGAAAAATGTAGGTTACTAGAGTCTTGCCCAGTGATCCCAGACCCAAGCCTGATAAGTGAAGTTTTCTTTTCTAGGTTAGCAACCTCCTTTTTATAGCATGTTCTTAGTTGCTGGTTTCAGCTTTATAATATTCATGTCTTTTAATGTGGATAAGCATGATAGCACCCTCCAGTGGCCAAAGCCTGATGAGAAAATGTTAACATGTAATTTTAGAGAATATTTCTATTCTGTTTTATTTGTTGTTTTTAAACATGTATTATGGTTCTGTTTGGGGTGGGATGGGGCAATGGACTGCCTGAAAATATTTATTGAACAACAGCATGCACATTTATGAAATGAAATGGTCCTAAAACTTGTCTCCGGTATAGATTTAGTAGGGTTTGTTTTGTTTTTTAAGAATCACAGGGTACTGCTTTTAGCAATAATTGTTCTTTTTTCTCTTTCTCTGTCTGCTTAAATACTGCCTGGTTTCTCTCATTTCTTTAAACCAAGTTCTTTATTCCAGATTAATTTTCCAAAGTCCAAGCATGCACATAGATGACAGAATACTTTTCTATCTTTCAATACCTTGTAGACTATGATATTACCCTAATGAGTGTCATTCAAGATTCAAACATAACATCATCATTACTGTGAAACTACAAACTCTAGGCCTATTCTAAAGAAACATTGATTATATCTGCTATTTTTGGGGCCAGCTGAGCTAAATTCCGATGTTTATATAGATTCAAACTAAGTCCCTATTTAGTCCTTAACCACTTCTCCAGATGATGTACTGAAGCTTGTACACTATTAATCATTAAGAAAATGTTTCAGGTTTACACTATTTTATTTTTACTCTTTTTCTTTCCTTTTTACAAAGTATAGGGGCAACTGAAGCTTTCCAGGAACCCCAAAGGAAAATCTACCTATTTCCTAACCAGCAACCCAGGTACTGGTTGCTAGAGGCAAACTGTGGTTTTTTTATTCATCCTTTCTCTAGGGAGCTTTGAGATAAAATCATTCTTCTCTCAACAATCCTGTGCAGTGACTAAACAGAGACTGTACCAAATGTCAGTCTCTAGCTGAACAGAGATTTTAGTCTAGGCTGGTGACCTCCAGATGTTTTGAGTTACAATTCCCATAAACCTTGGCCTACACATAGCCAGTGGTCAGTCTGGATGGGAGGTGAAATCAAAAACATAGAAGTCACTTGACTGAAGAAGAATATTCTAACCAATATACAGAGATGTAGACCCACAGGTCAAATCCAGCCCCATGAAGCTACCCAGATGGTTCTGTCGTCCTATCCATCTGATTGTGTGATGGTTTTATCAATTGAATAAAGATTTTCCCGTTCCCAAAAGTCTGAAATTCGCTCCAAATGTTTTAAGTTACTGGCAGCAGGCATTTTAAGCTAAAATATGCTCATAATTTCCCCCCTACTTCTATTGCGACTGACCCCATCCACCAATGCAGCCCCAAAGAATGTTTCCAAAAAATGTGAATTCAACCCCTGGGCTGAAAACAGTTCTCCACCCTGCATGCTACCACACTGGCTACAGGAGTACCTGGAATTTTTCATACTTCTGGCATGGTATTCATGTTGTTTCAAACCTCAGTTTAATCTTTAATTTACTAGTGGGCTTACTTTCTCTACACCTTAATTTCTCTCAATTAATGTTAGGATAATATTGATATTAATGTACTTTACAGGGTTCCAGTAAGAATTGTTCTGATAATGAGAAAAGCTATGAAAATTACACAAAAGTGGTGTTTGAATAAATACTTATAACTTTATACTCTTTTTCTAAATAGAGGACCATATTCCGTGCAAATTATCTTTCCTGTGCATGATTAAGTCATTACAGAAAGCATTTTAAATGCCATTGTTTTAAGTATGCTAAATCTGTGCTCCATAGTGTTGCTTTATCTCCAAAGCAGTAGCAATTGTAACATAATCTTGGCCAATATAAGGACAGTAGTTCTGTTACTTATGAAAAATTAAGAAATAATGACTAACTTCTTTTTGTCTCACCAGCCAAAAAAGCTATTTTAATTAATGCATGTCAACAACCACAGTATTCCTCATGAAGTCTGATGTAAGGTTAAACAGCTGTAGCAACATATTTATGAACCAGCAAGGGTGTGATCTTTTAATTTGCATTTTGCCTGTAGCACAATACCAGCTTGGAAACATCATCGGACAATTGTTCCGTGTTATATATGCTGATGATTCACCAGAATTAGGTGCTGTATGTGATGGATTTCTTGGACAAGTGAAATTGCTGCTTATGTTCCACCCTGTGAGTCAAATCCAAATGACAGCCTCCTATGTTGGAGAGCAGTGTGTGTGAGTGAGAGATCACGTTTTTGGATTTGGAGGAAGTAAAGAGAAATCCATGCTAAACAAGCTGCTGCTTCTAAAAAACAAATAGCTGTTTACTTCACAGAGGGAAAAGATAGATACAACAATTCCAGTAAAATGAGTTTCGGGTATTTAAGAACTGGTGCTTTGACAAATGCAGACAACACAATCATATTAAGGTAGGTGAATTGGTGGACACAAAGTAGGAGTCCCTGCACATAGTGGTTTTGAAAACCCCTGGACATACTGCTTCTGATGGGTGCCCCTTCAGCAGTTCCCAGCCTTCTATTTATCAGTCCCTGACATCACCTAGGTGAATTTCATCAGCTGCCCTGGTGATGGCTACAGTGATAAACCATATCCGGAAATCGTATAGCCACCCAGAGAACAGCAGGTATCCTGGGTATAGGGCATGTGTAGGTTGGGCTCAGTAGAGCTAATGTGTTCAACATAATGTACGTAAATTTAAAAATATGACAGGTCATGTATATGGCTACAGAAAGACATTTTGTTGCTTTCCAAATATTAATACCCCTTTCAACCACAAAGTGGTAGTTATTCCTAAGCAAATGTTTTTAGCATCAGAGCAGTGAAAACAAATGCCATTTTATTCCTGTAATCAACATGGTACTTTTAAAAGAGGGTTTAAAATGTAAAATTGCAATGCTTAGATGTTTCTTCAGTTAACAGGAGTGGTTAATTCACTCTCTGTGTGCGTGCACATGGGCACAGTTAACATATCAGGAGTATAGAACAGTTACAAAGATTGGAATGAATGTTGCAGAGGGAAAGTAAAGCACATGGTGGTCTAACTCTTTCCCCCCACTCTGTAAGACTCTTAACTCCAGGGCCCAAAAGTACCTAATTGTGTCACTACTTGCCACAGTGTGTGCTAGCATAGGCTGATTCTGGACTCAGCATTTGTGTGGGTGTTTTATGTGCATTAGCTGCCTAAGGGTGCTAAGGGCTCAGGCAGAGTCTTTTTGAGGCTTCATTTCTAATATATGGAACTTTTTAATTGTGACAACCGAGATTGCACATTATGCCTAATGTGCCTAAATCCTGTACTCTGCCACTGAACAATGTCATTTTGCTAAAAATTACAAGACTCCACAGTTTTATCCAGATTTCGATGTACAAGAAAAAGAAATCCAGGGGCTTATACAATGCAATGCACAACAGGCTACTTGGGAAACCTTCATTGTACCATGGAAACAGGCGTGAATACTGCCACTGTGAGACACTAAAGATCAGTTCACGCTGACATGTGCCTTTTATGCTCAACTCTTCATAATTTATTTTCAATGCGAATACTACAGTGTAAAAGCAAATACTAAAAGCAAGTATTATTTGGTACCCTAATCCACTCTCATTATTTATAATAATGACAATGAAAGTATTCATCTTCTTCCTGTTGGTTTTTCAGAGCATTGTTAAGGACAGAAAGGACCGGTTTATACAACACAGCATGGTGAAATGTTACCATTGTGGGTATGTTACCTTGGACCCTGTTCTGATGTTCCAATATGGTAGAATTAGTTTTCTGAAACCATGGAGAGAGTAATTGGAGTATTGGACATGCACATGGTGGGCATGTCATGAGCGGAGCTGGCTAGAGTCGGTCAGACTAGATGGCCCAGGAGAGCCCTTCTGACTCGCTCTGTTTCTCTGTTTCTAAGGTTTCCATGCTTCACTGTGGTTTTTCCATCCATTCAGACCTGGGATCACCATTTTACCATTGTTGGTATGAAAACACCATAGACTCCCAAGGCATGAATGGCTACAGAATAGGCCTTTTTAGCCTTCAAATTCTACTCCCCTCAAGGCCCAAGCAACAGATGTGTTATTACTTGCTTTATCCTCATTGTCTTTCCCCCCTTTTTACTTCTGGAAACAAGAAGACAGTGAGAAAATACAGAGGGAGAAGAGTGGAATCATGGCAAAACCATTTATTTTCACTGAATAAAAACCTGTGTGGGGGTTGGAACATCTAGAAAGTGCTATGGATAAGCATTTTATTTGAAAGAGGGAAGGGGGGAACCCAGTTCAGAGCTGCAGTGAACCAATCAGGAGGAGGCTGCTGCATTCCCTAGGCAAGTATAGGGAAAGGATAGGGATTTTACTTGTGGGAGCTACCGGGATGAGTGACACTACTGGGAGGATGGAGTGGGGAGTGAAGAAACCATGCTGTCCAAGCAAAATTTGCCCACCATGTGAAATACTGCAAGGTAGTTTGCCATGTCATGTGAACCCAGTGTAGGCTAGTGATCATGAGTACAAAATCTAGAGGGGGTAGTAAGTCAAAGGGTATCTCAAGTACAAAAATGTATGAGCATGCTCTTCATTTGCTTACAATGCAATAGGTTGCAACTTCAGCCACTTCTTTCTGCTGCTGTAGCCTTGTGGACTGGACATGGGTTTGGGAAGCTCAGCTTTAAGAATCTTGTCTGCCATTCATCCATTGTGGGGCATTGAACAAGCCACCATTTCATAGCTTCAGTTTTCATCTGTAGAATGGAAATAATCATGCCTGAATGCTGTGAAAATGGGTCAGCTTGAGTAACACAGGGAAAATAGTTAATAAGGTAGCATTCCTTTTTGGACACTTGCAAATATGATATGAGTGGAAGCCACCAACATCTTTCTTCCAAACTCATTTTCTAGAATAGGATATGTGCACTTTCCATTCTGGACAGTACTAAAATAACACATTCTGGTTTTGTAACTCTCTGTGCCACTGCACTTCTTTGACCTGCTTGTCTGCCTTGTGTACTCTTATCAGGTATGTAAGACCTGTTTATCTTGTGGGCCTGCACTACATTTTTTAAAAACAGAGTAATACTACAGTCAGGCTAGCCTCAAGGTATCCAACATAAATGCATGATAATTGTTATTTGGAGTTTCAGAGATGTTGCACCACAACACCTGGCCCTGAGAATCTTACTAGCCTGTAATTTACAGTGACACTCTCCTTTGTTCTCAATGCAGGATTGGCAAAACACAGCTTGTATTTTTTTAACCATAGATATACTCGCCTGGAGGTGAATATGTCAGTTTATCTTCTGAGCCAACAGTTCTCATTCTGTTAGCAGCTTTCCACTCTCTTTGCAGCACAAGAACAGTTTCAATGAATAACAGAAACAAAGCTAATCTTCTGTTCAGATTGAAAAATAGTTTTCGATTTCCATGAAGACAGTCCTACTTGAATGTTAGGCATTTCCTCTTGCTTTACAAATCCTGACATCTTTGTGTGGCATGGAATAGGTTAGAACTTGGTTCAAATCCTTCCTGTCCTCCTCAACATGACGGTGGGCAACAAATGAGGCCCATTTGGTGGTAGCTCTTGCGTTGCTATGGGGCAGCCTTCTGATAAAATGCCACTGATTTCAGACCCATAGGAACTTAGGTGAGGTAAATGAAGGTGGAGGTGTTGTTTTTTGCATGCAGTTAATGACTGATCTAATTTCCTATTTTTATATATTTTTTCTTAGTAATCATTGGTCATTTGGGTTCTTTGTGTTATTTTATGTGGGGTATTTGGGTCGAGATTAGTAATCTTATCAATTAGTGATGGAAGAATTTTTCTCCTTAAGTTTTGTTTTATTGAGTGAGACGAGCAGAAATTTTTCAAAAATAAATACCTTAATTTATTCCATGTCTAAGACAAACATCATTAGGAATGAAAAGGGGACAGAACATAGAAACAGAACACCTTAACCTCCAAACCTTACTGTATATATCTCAATTGTCTGGCATGGCCTAAGCAATTGCAAACATAGCAACCATTTTCCCTCCTTGCCCCACTGCTAGGATGCTCCTATGGTAATATCCTTTGGGAGGCTGGGAAACTTACATTTTTGCCTGGGTTACTGATCTTTCTTGTAGAAGCTAGTAGATTACTGACAGCTGAGATGCTTTTGTAGCCAAACTACCATGTCTCATAATTGCTGCCACCACTAAGTAAATCCAGGGCAATTTATGGTCCTTCAGGTGTTTGGCCTAAAATTCCCATCAGGCCTAGCCAGCATAGTCAATGGTGGCAAATCACAGAAGTTGTACAGTTGCATGAGTTGCTTGCCTGAAGTAAATAAACTAATTTACAAGGGTATGATGCTTTCATTTAATTTGTTGAAAGTGTTTCTCAACTACCAAGCTTTGTATTCTGAAGCAGGAAATTGCAAACTGCAACAATATTACTTTAAACCTGCTACCCATTTGTCTTCTCCAAAGTGGGATGGTAGTTTATTATATAAATAAGGATTAGGGTGAGAGTTATTGCACTCATATTGTTTTGAGTGTACAAGAAACTGCAAAGGAACTGGAGGCTGCATTATCTACTAACTAATATTTAGAAAGTCCTTTAGCTTCATGAAAGCAAACAAACCTATTAGAGACAAGCAAGCAACTTATCAACATTCTGGCTCATGTGCAGAGCTTCCATTTATAGAGAATACTTTCTTCCTCAGACAGTTGCCCTCCAGAGGAGGGGGAAATGACTGGAACACTTCTTTTTGCCCATTTGCCTCACTAAGGCTCAGAATAAAATTTATCATTATATAATAATGATAATGTGCGGTCATGAAGAATTTGGTTACTTCCATTTCCATTTTTAACACAGTTTAGCATGATGTCTAACCCTGGACAAACCTTTCTTTTAGGAAGGTAATTAAGATAAGCCACAGTTTAGGGTTTAGATGTAACATGAAACTATGGTTTATTGAAAATAGAAGACAAACCATCTGATCTCTCAGTAGCTATGTTGGAGGACAAAAGGTGAGTCCAAGTCCTAAGCTTTGTACTTGGGTCCCTAGACCAGTTACTTTTCTTTTAGTCCTACCAGTTTGCCTTCTTGAAAATGAGTGTTTTGGGCGCACAGCCGGCATGGAAGCAATTTTATGAATGGGCAAGCCACATTATTCAAAACTCAGTATGTGTGGGATTCCTGCACTAAAACTAATGTACAGATACAGGCTGTGAGTGCCAGCCTCATTTCCCACTGGCTAATCAAGCCTATATTCCAGAAACTGTAATGAGTACAAAATAGGGCAGGCAGGCTCATCTCTGGGACATCATGGAGAGACTACATATTACCTATTGTAAAGTCTTTGCAGGTTGCCAATATGTTTCCCAATACAGTACAAGGTGTTGGTCATTACCTTTAAAGCCCTTCATGGCTTGAGTCCAGAATACCTTCAGGAGCACCATTGCCCATACATTCTGCCGTACCAGCTAAGGTTCTCTGAAGTCTGTTTCTGTAAGATTAATGTCAACTACTCAGAGGACCTTTCAGTGGTTGCCCCTAAGCTGTGGAATAGCCAGAAGAAATCCATCTGATTCCCAGAATCCCACCTTTACGGAGTTAAAAATGTATCTCTTTTGACAGGCCTTCCCAGATTAGTTCTCATGTCAATTTTATTATGTTTTATTAGTCCATATTTTTCACTGTTGATTTAATTTCTTGTAAACTGCCCAAAGCCTATGGGAATGAGATAGTATATGAATATTATTAAAATATTATTAAAATATCTTGTCTTAACAACAAAAAGCAGTCTTAACAAGCAGAAGAGGTATTTACAACTAATCATGCAAGTTCACTCAGCTTCTGCTTCTCAGCTTCTCATCCAGCCTAGCATAACCACTCTATAAAACAGAGTAATCCAAAATATTTTGGAAGAAGCCTTTCTTTGCAAACACTAGGGTCTTGATACGGAAGAAACATATACAGGCTCAAGGAATACATTCTGTTAATGGGACACTGCAAATCTTTCAATTGGAGTTATCCAAATACACACAATCACTGGAAAGAAATTATAATTACAATATTTATCTTTTTATAAACAGGTAACATAACTAGTATATTTCCAAAGGTTTGCATTTTAAATTGACAAGCTATTTTTTCAAAAGAAATATGAACTACTATTTTGGTTGACCACTAGATGGCCCTAGCAAACAACTCTTTCATAAGGAGGTTGTCACATATCAGCCAGGTTGGTGGTATATATGAACAAGAGTACAAAAATAATACTATTGGCAGAATAATAGCAGAGTTCTAATGAATGTCTGAAAATGGTTGTTTTTATAAGGCAAAAGGAGAAATACTTTCCTGTACTAAGATAAAATAAAGTATTTCTTCTCTAGCTTAGACTAGCCTGTGCATCTCCGATCAAACTTGAGTAGGGTTATATTGGAGTAAGTCTTTTAAAAAATCATGTATGCAATCTTCGCACTGACACTGATGACTAATGACTATAACAACTAAGCATGCTTTGACTGGAGGGGAAAATGTTTTTAAATATCTATATAAAAAGATAACCTTAGAATAACCTTAGAATGTTATTTCATATTTCAGAGAAAAACACATTCCATCTAGGGTACTCTTTCAGTTCCATACTTTAAGAAAAGGTTGGGGGCTGGAACAATAGTGACAAAGAGCTTTTTTAGTAAGATTCCTGAAGTCTTAACCCAATTAAAGCCAATTACTTCTGCAGAGTCATAATTTCAGTCATGCAAAGATTATAGCAGGTCTGTGTATCCTATATGAAGCACACTGATGCTGGCAGTGATCCTTTTGCCCCAATGGATGTTTGTTGGCTCAGGAATGAGAAACTCTCCCAGTGTTTTTGGACTGTAACTATCACCAGCCCTAGCAGCATAACCAGTGGTGAGGAATGATGTGAACTGTGGTCGAATAACATGGAAGCCACACATTGCCATCCCTGGTTCAGCGGAAGCCAGTGAAGCTTAAAGTTAAGCAAATGTGTATCGTACTGACCGGGGGGGGGGGGGGGGGGGGGAGGATGGGTTAAACAACAGTTCCCATCACAATAAAGTCATATTGTTTTTGCAACACACTTAGGCTGATGATAGAGTTCCTGTGACTGTATCTTTTCAGAATGTAAGTGAAAATGATTGTATATTTCCATATTCCCACAAACCAAATTTTCCCATTATGGAAAGCTTGTTATCAATAATCCTAAATATGCCTAAATTCTAGTCAACTTCCCCATAATATGCTAGATTCCAAAGTGCAAAGATTTATTTAGTTTTGAATGAAAAAGACATGTAAGCCCTTAGCCATTATTTGAACTGTATAGTCCACTCAATATAATACCTCTTGATTTATGTGCACATGTAAATTACTGGATTTAAGAGGAATTTCCTAAAGACTGACAGATCTTTATTTTCAGCACAATCACCTACATATTGTCTTAGAAGATAACCCATTGAATTCAGTTTTGGAAGTTGTCCAATTGAGTTCAGCTGGGCTTCCTTCAGACTGAAACATATAAACTGGCAGCCTTCTGAGTCTGGCAGTGCATATAGGCACTTGCATGGAAAGCAGTGCCTTCTGACACAGTAGAAAATAAGGTGATCAAACTCGCCTTCCTCAAATCCATGAATCAAAGGTCCAGTTCTTCAAGACAGCATAAGAATCAGCTGGGAACAGATTGCAGTGTGTTTATCACACCCCATATGAAAAAAGTACTAAAGATAAAAGATGGATTTAGAGGTGGAAGATAAAAGCTCATATCTCTAATTACCAGTAAAGGACTCACAGGAAAAATGCTATTCATCTGATTAACCCACTTCAAAGAACTGCTGTGGAGCTAGCAATTCTGCCTGTGGTGACTTTCTTTTTTGTCTGCCCATGGAGCTGCCTGCTATTTATGGTAAGAGGTCATGCCTTGTTTGCCACAGTCATAACCTATACTCATAATTTTGAAAGTCACCGCTCAAACACTCCCTAAGATAGCAGAGAGGAGAAACAGCCCATGGCTTAAGAAAAAGGGATCTGTCATATAAGAAAGCAATCCTCAGATACGGTTATACTGAACCTAGGTTTCCCCAATCTGCTGACCTGCAGACTAGAACTTCCTTCAGCCCCACTTAGCATGACCAGTTGTCAGTGTTGGGAAGGGCTACTGTAACCTATTCTTAGTAGTAGATAAGCTATCTTAAACACATCCACTTAGAATTCTTACTTTCTCTGATGAGATTTATACCCAGTTAAGAGACAGGATTGCAATCCAAAAGTTGTATTTGGAATTTTAAGAAATTAGGTACACCTGATGGATACCATATGCACACCTTGATCCACCATAATCCAGACTAATAACATGTGAGCCCAAAGTCTTAGGCATTCTGAAGCCAGCTGTAGTCTATTTAATGGTCTATGGGTATAAATAATATTTTAATTAATACATGGGAACTTAATTTTCTAAATAATGTTTTTGGTTTTTGCTACCCTAACAAAAGAAGTTTTATGATGAGACCTTTTTCTTGGGTATTCAATTCATTAGGTCATTGTAAGTCAGAGGTACCAACAAAGAGTTCACAAAATTGTTGAACATTACATAGATGCCCAAACTGTCAACTATATTCAATAATGCTCAATCACAAATGCTACAAATACAACTGTGCATTTAAAAAAAAATCCATCAGTGGTTACATTACAAAGTATGTCCTTTCTGCAATTTAGCAGGAAGCACCCAATTGAAAATAATAAATTTGCAAGCAGCCCGTTGCCTCTGATTCCCAACCTTCAATAACACTGTGCCTTTTTTCTGGCAGTATTCTCTAGAAAACTGATGCCAATTGACAGTGAAGGAAGCAAATGTCAGTTCATTTACACAGCACTAATTTTGAAAAAACGATTTAAAATACATAGTGTTTAATGCAAGTTATAAGAAAAGATTACTTCTATTATCTGTTATGTTTATTAAATCTATTGTGATCTAGGGTGTATAGAAGTCTCGGTCATGAAGGCGGTAAGGGGAAAAATACAATATCATGCAAACCTGTAAGCCCCAGTTGAACTCAAGTTGGCCTTACTTCTGATTGGACCTGTATAGAATTACGCTGTGATAAATACTGTCGATGACGAAATTACGTTCCAGAGAACTTGGAAGCCAAGCCACAGTCAGGAAGAAGGCAGAAATTTGGAACTGGTATATTTCCCCCCAAAAAAATTGTTTTACACGCCTCCAACTGTAACAAAAGTTCTGTTTTCAAACAACCCCAACGCACACAGAAGATCCGTGGAATTTTACCGAACAAAAAGCCACGTACTTGGATCGGATGTTTACAAATGAGTGTATTTATAGCTGCATAATTATATATAAACAGTTTTGCCTATTTAACTTTTGTAAATAAACGCTGCCCACCTCTGCGGGAGACAACGCGGACCCTTTTCCCGTGAAGCAGCCAGAAGGACGGCGGAAGAAAAAGGAACCAGCGCGCGGCCAGCCCCACCCCGATGGCCGGCTGGCTGGTGGCGAGCAAGCGCCTAAACCGCTGGCCGACCCTTCTCCGGCTACACACGTGCGCCGCGGACCGAGCGGCTGGTTGAGGGCATGTGCGCTCCGTTCACCAGGCCCGGGACTGGGCGGGCTCAGTAGGGCGGTGCTGCCCTCAGCCGGGGAGAATGAGTTATACAACCGCTTGGCGTTGCATAAGCGCCCGAGCCCAGAATAGTCTCAGCCGCCTGCTCGATTGCTCCACGAGAGGAGCGAGTGGGCAAGCACCGCCCCGTTCTCCTCCCCCTGACCCCGACGCTGTCTTCTCCGGGGACGCCCGAGACAGGACTGGCCGCACAGAAGCCCGTCTCGGGACGAGGAATGCGCTCTGGCGACGAGCAGGCTAGGTATGGGGGCGATGTGAGGCTGCTGGAGTAGCTCCACTGTCCTCCTCCTCCTGCCCGCGGAGAGACTGAGCTCGACGATGGAGCAATAACAGCGGCAGTGCCCACCGCCACCACACCCACCTAAGCCCGTCTCCCAGCGAAAATGGAGCTGGGGCCAGCCACCGGGCAACAGGCACAACAGCGCTCCCACCCCCAGGCCTCGTCGGGCGGCGGCGGCGGTGGCGGCGGCGGGGGTCCCTGCCCAGAGATGTTGCAAGTGGCCGAGGAGGCTTTCCGCGGCGGGCAGTTCGCACTGGCGGCGGAGATCCTGGGCTCGCAGCTGGCCGAGCTGCCGCAGCCCGAGCGGGGCCTTTGCCTTCGCCAAGGGGACGCGCTGGCCCGCGCGGGGCGCATGGCCGAGGCTTTGGATTCGTACAGCGCCGCCGCCAGGCTAGCCCGGCTGCGGCCTGAGGAGCTGCGCGAGCTGGCCGAGAGCTTCGCCCTCATTATCCGCGACAAAGAGCTGCGGCTGCCTCCACGGCAGGGGCCTGGCGACACTGGAGGCGGCGGCGGCGGCTGCCTGGAGGGAGCTGACCCACTGGGGGACCCCACCTGCTGCCGCCCGCCAGAGCCGCTGGGCTGCCCTTTGTGCCTGCGCCTGCTCTACGAGCCAGTGACTCTGCACTGCGGGCACACCCACTGCAAGCGCTGCGCCCAGAGCGGCGGCGGGGAGTGTGTCCGCTGCGCGTCCCGGCGCCCTGCCTCTACCTCCGTCCCGAGCCCGGCGGCACAGCCCCCTGCCTGCCTCCGCGTCAACGTGGTGCTGGGCAGCCTGCTGGAGAAATGGTTCCCGGCCGAGAGCAGAGCACGCCGGCTGTGCGTCGAAGGGGACGCCCTGTGGGAGAGGCAGGAGCTGGCGGCCGCCCTGGAGAAGTACCATCAGGCCCTCGAACTCGGTGAGTGCTCGCCTGCCTTGCCCCCACGCACGGTCGAGAGAGAGCTTGAGGATTCCCTTTAGGCAGCCATAGACCAGGAGCAGCAAGCCGCAAGATGCAACCCTAGCCATCTCTCCTCAGAAGTAACTCTTACAGAATAGTGGGTGTTGCTTCCAGGTGAACGGGTATAGGATTATAGCCTAAAACTCCCCGACTCTGCTGTTGTTCCGACATGTTTATTTGGCTCACAAAGGAATGACAGGCCAAATTGCATTTTTGCATTCTGGGTTCTTATCTAGGAAGCGGATTAGTGATTGTCTGATGGAAAAGCTGTTGTGTAATGTTGTGTAATGACTGTGTTTTTCTATCCATACAAAGTAGGCAGTTTCGAAATGTTTTCAATGAATCCTTTTATAGTTTGAAATACATCTCCAGTTAAGAACAACTGATAACATGAAGCCTTGTGTGCCCACCACTAGTTTTTAAGGATAATTTTCAAGCATAATTTCAGATCTTGGATTTGATCTATTGTGGAGGTGAAATGTTTTGAAATAGTACCCATTTTTTGACATAGAGGGGGAGGAATTCTTCAGTAAGGATCTCTTCTGGAAATACTGGTGTATCTCAGGTGGCTTTCTTCACTGTCTTATGTTATTGCACTATAGGGGAAATGCTGAAAGTGGGAGGCTGTGTGGTGCCTTATAAAATGAAGCACAGACAGATGTGGGATTGGGGTGTCAATCTTCCTCAATGTGGACAGGTAGGTAGGGATCTTATCTGTTGCTGTGCTATGTTAACATGCCTGGACAATCTAGGACAAACTGGGTTTATTGATTTTACACCGTACATGTCAGAAGTAGCCAAGAAGTTGCTTCAAATGAGGTAGTGTGGATAGCATTTTTTGGTCTAGTAATTACAGTCCCAGAGTGCTCTACTGCCCAGCTTAACCCCCAGAAGTAGACCAGGAACATGTCGAGCATCATCTGTACAGTGTTTCATGGGAAATTTTAAATTTCAGTGTATTTAAGTTAAAATGAATTAAATCACATTCTAAATTGATGGATTTAATGTTTTAAAAATGTGGAGATTTAAAAAACAAAGTGCAAACGCTTTAATTTTTTTTTTATAAATTCAGTACAAATTGGAAGCCTGGTTACTGATGGCAAAACTAGGACCAAATAATAAGTTCGAATTCACAAGTAAGGAGAACCCACAGAATTTGGGGACTGAGTGGAAAAGGTCTGGTAACCGAATCTGCATATTTTCTCATTGAAAAAGTGGAAATTTGCCAGAGAGTGATCTTTTATTTTTAAGCCTTTCTTTTGACACCGGTCAAAAGAAGTGTCTAAGGGGGGGTGGCTTCATGATCTTCAATTTGCCAAGTAGTTGGAGGGTTGTAAAAGTGAGGAAAACATTGGGGCAGTGGGAACCAACAATGAAACGACTAGGAACCATAAAAACCACTGAGAATCTCACTGAAAGAGGGAAGTCACCACCCTGTGCGTGAGCAAGGGTACCTAGTGACTTTGCTTTCCTTTGATAGTTCTCCATTTGACAACTGTGAAGTGAAAGCAAAGTTACAAAATAATCTAGGTAGCAGAATAGCTCAGCTAAGGCTTTCTATTTCAGCTATCTGGGGTTATACAATTGCACAATTCTGGAAAACTAGCTATATATACACACACACATCCACTTATGTAAGAAAAAAAAGAGTTGACAAATTACTGACAGCCTTCCATTAGGCTTTTTGGAGGAGCCATCAGTACCTGTTACTTTGGAGGTTGTGAAAAGCAGTTTTTCCAAAAGAGCGGGGGCAGAGGAACCATGGTGAGCACAAAAAGTCTCACAATTGCAGTGGTGGTGAGCCAGTGATGGTAATTTCCGAGTGCTACTTGGGCACGTGGCAGAAGTAAAAAGCTGTTTCCCTAGGCCCATGATGGGCTTGGTCATCCAAGTCTGGATAATGTGAGAACCCATTGTGGATTCAGTAACCCTTACAACAAGCCATGGATTGTCAGGGTGACTTGTTGCTGCCAAACAAGCCACCTTATAGGAAGTGGTTGCAGTTCAAGTAACATGACAGCCTGCTGTGGCTCATTAGCAACAGTGGGTTACCATGTAAACCTAGTCATATGAACGTATTCAGAACCCTATACCTAGGATACCAAGAATCTTACCATAACTCTAGATTGCAAAAACTGATTTGGGATATAGTGAGATTTCAAATATTCTGCCCTTGACTATTTTGCATTATTTATACTTTTTTTAAAAAAGGGAAACATATTGAACAGAGTTCATTTAGATTGGTAAAGGTTCCTATAATGTGGCTGCTACAGTTGGGAGCATTCTGGAATGCCATGTTTCTGGGCTTGGGTGAATGCTTATTGTACTCTAAAACTGTCACAGGTCAGCCTGACCTTTTGAAATGCCAGCAGGTAAGTATGCTACCAGTTCTTCCAATAGCTGTTCCAAAACTTCTGAATTATGTTAATGGGCAAATAAGAAGACTTAAAAATGGGGAGAGGCATTTTGCTATTTTCAATAGCTCATTTCAATATTATATGCACAACTGCATATATAACAAAAGGAATGTAGCTAAGTAAAAAGGCTCACTACAGAGAATTGCTAGTGATTGGTTCCTTTTGAAACTGCAATTTCTTTCAGTTGCCTTGTTGCCATTAGCCAAACCACTACAATTTCACAGTATTCAATATTTTTTTCATTGTGCAATGTATGCAGCAGGCAAAGTCACACCTTATCTACCCTTGAAGTACAGGCACTTTGGAAAAAACGGATATGCATAAAAACTCAAGTATTGATGCAAAAAAAGTTTCTTTAATGATATGCATCTGTGTCATGTACCTCAGAATGACTTAAAGTTGGTGCAGCCAAATCAACAGGAAGGTGCAAATTCAGTTGGTATACTTGATTTACCTCCTTTGACATTGTCAACCCATTGTGGAATAATATTAAAAGCTAACAAATGCTACATTTGATACTTTCTGATTAGGTGTAGAATTTTTTGCAATGATGACTTTTATTCATCAATTTATCAACTTTTAATGCAATAAGCACTTGAGAAAGCATGTGGTTAAAATCCAGCAGAAGTCCATTATCCTTTATCTAAGGAATTCCTAGAAACTTGTTTTTAAAAGGCTCTACAACTCCGCTAAAAATTTGACCAAAGAATCTTGACTGGAAGTCTTTCATTGGAAAGTGATTCTTACTAAAAATCCATTAACTCAGTTTGGGAGGACTGGTAAAACACAATTCCTCACTCTTTATGTCAAAAATGGAATGGTACTTAAATCTTAGCAGTCCTAATAGACAGCAGATTGTTCTGAAATGCTATTGTAGCAAAGTGCAGATAATAAGAATGAGTTTACTGAGCTCATAAACGTCGAGCTGTTTAAGGGCTGTTGGGTGTTATGTCCAGAAAACCTAATACAGTTGAAAACAATAATTATGGAATTACAAATTGCATTGGTTGCTCTATTTTAGCCATTCTTATCATATTGCAAGTGTCTGGGGAAATTATGGATCATTTTGGGAGACTTTTACTAGTTAAACATAGAAGTGAAGAAGATGAAATTTTCTGTCAAGGTGCTTAACAAGATGGCTGAGCCAGTCCAGAGCTGTATGGAGCCATACCTGAATCTAAGCTTGACTGGTGTTTCTTCAGACCGGGAACCTTCCTGTCCATTCCTGAATATGACCAGGCAAGGTTATAAAGGTTAGGTTGCTCACATTTATAGCAAGCCTGGCCCTGCCAGAGGCTTCATAGGTGCCTTTCTCTTGCAGAAGCCGATGTCCCCCTTTTCCTTCTTTTTCCTTCGTTTCTTTCAGTGTAGAGCACACAGCCACGTCTATACATGGCTTACTAGAACAGTTCCAAAATGGAATCATCATGTATGTGTGTAGGGTAGTTAGTGATGAAGTTGTTTTTGAACCTTTTGCCTGATGCTATACCTTCAGTTAAGTGTTACTGGGCTTTTTGGGGCAGGCAGTGTGCACTGGCAGCTCAGATCCACAAGTGGGAGATTTTTTCCTATCCTAATTGCAGGATAGGATGGTGGTCATCTAAATTGGGTCTCCTGCACTTGCTTTTAAGAAAGAAAAAAGAGCAGATGTAACTGCAAGGAATTGGAACAGTAACATGCAGATTGGCTGAAAGTCCCAGTCTTAAAGTTGCCAAGGCAAGAATAGCTGCTTGTTAAATGAATGAAAACAGAGACTTTCTCAGTAGCAGGAACTGTGAATGGAATTGCTTGCCAATGGTTGAGACCTCCTCTGAGGTATAAACCATATACAAATATTTGCAAAGGATAAAGGGTCAAACAGAGGAAGTTCGTCATTTGATCACTAATAGTGGGAAAAGATAGTTCCAGTCTAGTGGGTGAGATTTTAATCCCTGCCTGAAGCATTTAGGCACATGCTAAGGCAGTACCATGCTTAAGCATTTGTCAGTTACACAAGGTGAATAAGCCCTGCACAGCATTATTCAGCATTTGTTTAAACATTGAGATTAAGGCTACTGTTTATACATAAACTTGCTGACATATGAAGACACTCACACAGAGCTTCTCACATGCTATGGATGGGCCTGTACTTTTGTAAGTGTGTGGCAGTAGTCTGGTAAATGGAATAAAATGGAAAACAAGGCCTGGCTTAATTCCATCACATCAAGTTATCAACAGTGAAATGCTTTACTGCCTTGCAGTTTATGACTCATCCTGCAGCATTTTGAGAAAAGCCTTTTCCGGTCTATGACGAAAAGGACTTATGTAAAATGCGTTGGTGTTCCTGCTTTGAGACAATAGACAGTCAAAGACGCATTAGAACTGCTATCTCTAACCTCTCCGTGGCAAAATATCCACTGTGATTTAACCCACTAAAATGGTTTGGTATGGTTTAATTCAGAGCTACCAACCTTTGCTGTTTTATGGGCAGCACATAGCAATGCAAAGCAAGTTACAGCCAGCTAGGATTAGTTAACAGCAGTCATACAATAATCAAACTGT